TAAATGGGTTCTGGTATAAAAAAAAAAATAAGGATATTTAATCTCAAACTCGAAAAAAAAAAAAAACCAAAGTATGAGAATTCAAAGTATTTCTGATACCAGTCACTTACAAGAGCAGATATGAATGAATAACAACTCTCTTAGTTCTTGGTCTCTGAGAAGAAAAAGCAATGTCACACGAAAATATCTCTATAGCAAAAGTTTATATTCTTTCAAAAACCAGTTTAACTTTGGGAAAAAAAATTTTCCCCCTAAATCTGTAAAAATTATTAACTCTATTTCCCCTGATTAACAGGTAGATATCTGCAAAGATTATCTCAAAAGATTTTTTTGTTTTCTGTATAAATTATTGACTTTATGTAAGCTTGAAAAAACTTTGTAAAAATGACCCTATAAAAATTACAACACAAAAGCTTTTTCAGTGTTTCTACAATGAGCAAAATGGACAGATCTCATTTGTTTTTTATTTTATTAAAAATAAATAATGCTTGCCAGTGTCAGTATAAAAGCACTGGGTGATTGAAAGAGTGCTGTGCAAGTGAGTTACAGGATCATGTAATATTCCAGGATATATACACAAAAAGTGTGGTTTAGGACCTATTGAATCAAAGAAAATATTTTTTTTCCCCTCTAAAATGGCACTTTATTGGTTTACATTTTCTGAATCAGTTTCATAAGCCAATAAAAAATAATCCTTGAATAACAAATTATCTTCATTCTAAAATGGAAACATAATATATAAATTTCCTGCCTTCCCTGAAAAAGTTAACCATTAATTTTCCACATCCAGTGGTTGTGCTCAATAAAGGAATTGCTGTCACACAATAGTTCTGATAATTCGTTTAAATTAGTGTTTAAAAATGCTTACTGTGTTTAAAAACTCCATATTGAAATAAATTTCATTTTAAGTCACCTTCGTTTCTTCTTAGGAGCTGTTATTATGCTCATAAAAGATTTGCAAACTCCCATCTATTGTAATTCTGGCCTTAACATTTCAAAGAATATCCAAATTGTGGGCATAATAGACCATAATATATTAAATGCTGAAAATATGTATACCTAGAAAATTAAGTAGGACAATATATATTGTACATGGATCATGCAAGTTTTATATAACAAGTGTACACGTGTACATGTAAATACCTTTTGATTGGTGTATATGTGAATTAACCTTACAGTTGCCAAAAGAAAATATTTTTTTGTTGTGTTTGGAAAACTAATTGACCTAGTCTATGAAGGATTTATTTGGGTTTATTTCTGTGCTTCTTAATTTTTGAAAAGTAGTAGTACTCCTGATTTTGGAGCATTGTTTTATATCAAAAACTACAAATTAATTTTAATGATTCTAAAACCTAGAGTTTTTTTATTAAGGGCTGTTGATAATTAAGAGTATTAGTCTAGCTCAAAGCTATCCAACAGAACTACAACATATAAGCCACATATGAAATTTTAGATTTTTTAGTACCCACATTAAAACAAGTAAAAAGAAACAAATGAAATTAATTTAATGACATATTTTACTCATATCCAAAATAGTACATTTCAACGTGTAATAAATAATTTTTAAAATGAGTTATTTTATGGATTTGTTTGTTCCACACTAAGGTCTTTAAAATCCAGTGTGTATTTATATTTATAGCCCATCTCAGTTTGGACTAACCACATGTCAAGGGCTCAATAGCCTTATGTAACTAGGGGCTATGCATATCTAACCCATCCCTTAATATTTGGAAGGAGGTCTAGCAGTGGAACTAAAAACACTTATTTGCTCTGCTATTTTTTGTCCAATAGGAATTATGACTTTTTAATTTGTTTTATTAATTAATTAATACATATGCATAAAAGTTATAGAAACAACAAACAGTTTAATCTCCTTCCCACTGCTATTTTCCAGCCTCCCCATTCCTTTCCCTGGAGGCAAAGTATTATTACCAGTTTGTTGTATATTCTTGCAGAACTGACTTTATATTTATTTTTGTAAATGTACAGATTGTGGCATTTTTATACATACTGTTCTGCAGCTTGCTTTATTTCATTTAATTACTTGCAAATACTTCCATCTAAAAATATAGGTTGTTTATTTTTGCCATTACAAAAGATTGTGCATACATCTTTTAACATATAATAGCATATTTGTTAGATAAGTCCTGAAACTGAAGGGTCAAAGAAAGTTTCTGTGGAATACTGTAGATATCAGTAAATTGTCCTCAATTGCATTAATATCAGTTTTGACTCCTGAGAACCATCCAAGGGAGTGTCTGTTTCCCTGCATGCTAACCAACATGGTGTATTATCAACCTTTTTATCTTTGCCAATTTTAGAAAAAAACAGTATCTCATGCATATTAGAACAGTATTGCAGTTCTAATATGCATTTATTTTTACGAATGGTACAGGATATCTTTTTAAATATTTAAATGCCAGTTGCATTTCATTTTCCGTGAACTGCCCATGTCCTTTGCTCATTTTTCTATTGGATGGTTGGACTTTTCCTTGTCACTTTGTGTGTTTTTTATATTTGGAAAAGTTTTATGTGACTTTTTAACTTTGCTTATTGGTTTATTTTTGCACGTATAAATTTTACAGAACTTTTTAGTATATAATGGCTTTTAGATTTTGTATCACAAAGAACTTATCTAGTCATTATATTTTTTTTCAGGTTTTCTCAGAGTTTTTAATTTTGGGTGGAGGGGCTGTTTTCCATTTTCAAATGTTAAATCTATCTAGAATTCATTTTTGTATGAGATGTAAGGGATAGATACAATTTTATCTTTTTTTTTTTCAAAAGACTATACAGTTGTTCCAATATCAGATTTATTTGAAATGTCATCATTGCCTCAAACCATATTTCTGTTTGTATCTACTTCTGGACATTCTATTCAATTCCATCGGTCTTATTAACACTCTGTTACCTACTGATGGCAAAGCTGTTTTAAATATGATAGCTTTTGTTGCTTTTTAATATCTTTTAATTTGGCTATTGCCCTGTCCAGGCCCTATTACAAATCTTTTTCAGATTATTCTTGGCCATCCAATTTGTTTATTTTTCCACATAAACTTTAAAGTCAGCTTCTTTAATTCCTGAAAACATTCTGTTAGTATTTTTATTGAAAGTACATTGAATGGTTTAATTTGACAACTATCAAAGAACATATTATACCTTTCTACTTGTTTTGTTTTTGTGTTTGTGTACTCTTCATTACTGTTTTAAAAGTTTATTCAAATAGGTCTTCCATGTTTCTTTTTAAGTGTATTCCTAGTGTTTCAAAAATATTTTTTTCTATCACAGTATTTTATTCCACTAAAGCTTCTGACTTGTTTTTATATGTCAAGGCTATTGATTTTTTTTTTCTTCAGGTACTTTACTGAATTCTCATCAACTGCAACAGTTTTTCCATTGATTCTCTTGGTTGACCAGTATTCAATCTTATTATCTACAAATAATGATAATTTTAGTGTTGATTTCCAGTGTTTACATCTTATTTCTTCCTTTGTTTTATTTGTCTTAGTTAGTAAGCATTGATTATTTTAATAGAGCTTTTTTTATTGCCCAAAGACAAAGTAGTCTTGATTTTTTTTCTACTTACATCCTTAAAATAAATGTAGTGAGAAAAACTGTGGGAAAATAAAGCATGACTGTATCATGAATGGTACAGCATTTACTTTATATAATGGATTATTTATGTTTTTTAATACCTATTTCTTCCTGCTTTCTCTGTCACTTGGACTTTGAAATCTCTATCAGTAGTGGTCTAAAAAATGTTTGAATGATTAAATGATCATAAAACGAGCAATTTTATATTAATCCAGTAAAACTGATTGGATGCTCACTCGATACTAAGTACAAACATGAACAGAGTAGAGTATTCTTAAGGAGTTCAAAGTCCAGTAAGAGTTAAAAAAAAAATACAATTGAATGTGATCTGTTCAGTGGTAGACCGTATGTAAGATATATAAGCAGCGTAAAAATGGGGGTGATTAATTCTCTTGGAAAAATCAAAGGAGGAATCCTAGAGGAGGTGATATCTGAGACAGTTTTAGAGGAACACATAGGAGTCACTGGGCAAATAAGGGGACTAAGAAAGCTCTCTGGGCAGATAAAACAACATTATGGAGGTCTGAAACAGCTTACATGTTTGTATATTTACAAGCTGTTGTTAACAGCTGGAGTATAAACTGTGAGAGGAAGTAGGAGGAGAGAAAAATAGAAACCTGCATATGAAAAACCATTAGGAAGGAATTCTCAATTGAAATGAGTAGCCAGCCCCTATAGAAGAAAACACAGAATCACCTAGAAAGGGCACTTTATAAATAACACTTTTCACCCCTATCCCATCCCCTGGGATGTTACTACAGGGAGTGTGCCTTATCTTTCAGGTGTATTTGAGTGACAGAGTGTGAGAACTACTGATGCAGGCAATGTGGAGCCAGTAAAGTGTGCTGAGGAGAGCACGACAGCGATTTGCATTTTAGAACCTTCTCTTTGATGACAATTTGAAGAGCCTTAAGGACTGGGGAGAGAACAGGCTGAGGAAAAAAACCCTTTAAAAGGCTACTGCAGTCGATAATGAAGCAAGATAATGTAGATCTGGTTATCGAGTGGCAGTGACGATAATTCAGGGAATATACAGGAAATGGAATTGATAGAATTTAGGAAGTGATTTGCTATGTAAAGTGCTAGAGAAGACAGAAAGGAGGTTGTCTTTCTCTATTTTCTTAGCATTTTGACACCGGGAGTTATTTGTCACATTAATCGGTGAATCTGATCATCTTTGTTCTTCATGACCATAAATATTAGAGAGTTGCTGGGAAGACAAGAATAATCATTTCCTGAGTAGCTATTGGTTGTCACCCTGAAACATGAAAACGAGTGTCATAGTTTGCTGTGTCTAGAAATTACAGTACTATTAATGACATGATTGTTTTCTAAGATGTATTATTAGTGTTAGATATGTATTGATTGATGCATTTTAATTTTTGTTTCCGTGCTCTTAGAATTCATCCAGAGGGCAGCCTTGTGGATGGCCCCGAAGCAAGCCTGATGGAACAGGATAGAACCAACCATGTTGAGGGCAACAGACTAAGTCCATTCCTGACACCATCTCCTTCTCCTGTTTGCCAGACAGAACCTCTGGCTATAAAGCTCCAGAATGGAAGCCCATTAACTGAGAGACCTTATCCAGAAGTAAACGGAGACACCAAGTGGCAGTCTTTCAGAAGTTATCATGGAATACCCTATATGAAAGGAAGCCAGAACAGCCGTGTGAGTCCAGACTTTATACAAGAAGGTAGAGAGTATTCCAGGTGTTTGCAAAATGGAGGAATAAAACGCACGGTTAGTGAACCTTCTCTCTCTGGGCTCCATCAGAACAAGAAATTGAAACAAGACCAAAAGGCTAATGGAGAAAGAACGAACTTCGGGGAAAGCCAAGAAAGAAATCCAGGCAAAGGCAGCAGTCAACCAAATGTCTCCAATTTGAATGATAAGAGAGAATCTGTGAGCTCTGTAGCCCCAGCAAATGCAGTTAAAGATGTCACCAGTTTTTCAACACATAACTGCAGTGGGCGTGAAAGTCCAGAGCTTCAGATTCTCAATGAGCATGAGGGGAAAAATGCTAACTACCATGACAAGAACATTGTATTACTTCTTAAAAACAAATCAGTGCTAATGCCTAATGGTGCTACAGTTTCTGCCTCTTCCATGGAAAATACACATGGTGAACTCCTGGAAAAAACACTGTCTCAATATTATCCAGATTGTGTTTCCATTGCGGTGCAGAAAACCACATCTCACATACATGCCATTAACAGTCAGGCTACTAATGAGTTGTCCTGTGAGATCACTCACCCATTGCATACCTCAGGGCAGATCAATTTCCCACAGACCTCGAACTCTGAGCTGCCTCCAGAGCCAGCTGCAGTGGTGACTGAGGCCTGTGATGCTGATAATGGCTGTAAACCAGCTGCAGTGCTAGGTACCTGTCCCTTTCAGAAACCAGAAAAACAGAAATCGGTTTTTGAGATTTGCCCATCTCCTACAGAAAACAATAACATCCAAGGAACCACAAAGCTATTATCTGGTGCAGAATTCTGTTCAGGTTCCAGCAGCAATTTGCAAGCTCCTGGTGGCAGCTCTGAACGGTATTTAAAACAAAATGAAATGAATGGTGCTCACTTCAAGCAAAGTTCAGTGTTCACTAAGGATTCCTTTTCTGCCACTGTCACACCACCACCATCACAATTGCTTCTTTCTCCCCCTCCTCCTCTTCCAGAGGTTCCTCAGCTTCCTTCAGAAGGAAAAAGCACCCTGAATGATGGTGTTTTGGAAGAACACCATCGCTACCACAACCAAAGTGATACAACTCCTTTAAGGGAAGTGAAAATAGAGGGTCAGTCCAAGGCACCACCATCCCAGAGTCCTAATCCATCTACACATACATCCAACCACTCTCTGATGCTTCCAGAAAGGCTTCAGAGTAATTGTGTTAACAAGAATGACATAAGGACTCCAGGAACAATGACTGTTCCATTGTGTTCTGAGAAGACAAGGCTAGTATCAGAACATCTGAAACATAATTCACCAATTCTTGGTAGCAGTGGGGTTTCACAGGACCACTGCCAACAGTCGATGGGACACAAAGAGCGAGAGATTCTGAAGGGTCGAGACAAGGAACAAACACGAGATTTTGTGCTCCCAAAACAGCCCTATCTGAAACCAGGATGGATTGAATTGAAGGCCCCTCACTTTCATCAAGCAGAATCCCATCTAAGATATAATGACGCATCACTGCGGTCAATTCTTCAATGTCAGTCCAACTCCTCCAATCAAATGACCTCCAAACAATACACTGGAAATTCCAACACGCCTGGGGGCCTCCCAGGGCAAGCTTATATCCAGAAAATAATGCAGCCGGAGCAGAGGCCACAAAGGTACCAAATTGAGATAAAACAAGGGCAGTCTCAAGGTACGGTGGACCAGCATCTCCAGTTCCAAAAACCCTCACTCCAGGTGCACTTCAAGACAGACCTTTCATCCGAAGCTCACATGCAGTCACTGTGTGCCCCTAGACTTCATTTTCAACAAAGACCAGATTCCCAAACTGAGAAACTCATGCCCTCAACATTGAAGCAGCACTTGAATCAACAGGCTTCAGAGACTGAGCCATTTTCAAACTCATACCTTTTACAACATAAGCCTCATAAGCAGGCAGCACAAACGCAGACATCCCAGAATTCACATCTCCCTCAAAACCAGCAGCAGCAGCAAAAATTACACATGAAGAATAAAGAACAAATGCCCCAGACTTTTTCTCATCCCCAAGGCAACAATGATCAGCAAAGAGAAGGATCATTCTTTAGCCAGGTTAAAGTGGAAGAATGCTTTCGTGGTGAAAATCAGTATTCGAAATCAAGTGAGTTCCAGACTCATAATTCCCAAGTGAGATTGGAGCACATACAGAATATGAACAGTAGAAATTCTCTCTATGGTCAGATCTTGAAATCGAGTGCAAGCAAAGTGCAGATTTCTTGTTCAAACAATACACACCTAGTTCCAGAGAATAAAGAACAGACTATAAATCCTGAACTTTTTGCAGGAAACAAGACTCAAAACTTGCATCACATGCAATATTTTCCAAATAATGTGACCCCAAAGCAAGATGCTCTTCACAGGTGCTTTCAAGAACAAGAGCAGAAGCCTCAACAAGCTTCAGTTCTACAGGGATATAAAAGTAAAAACCAGGATACGTCTGGCCAACAAGCTGCACAACTCACTCAGCAAAGGTACCTGATGCAAAACCAAGCAAATGCTTTCCCTGTGCCTGACCAGGGAGGAAGTCACATTCACACCCCTCCTCAGAAGGACATTCAAAAGCATGCTGCTCTAAGGTGGCACCTCTTACAGAAGCAAGAGCAGCAGCAAGCCCAACAATTCCAAACTGAGTCTTGCCATAATCAGACTCAGAGGCCAATTAAGGTTGAACCTGGATCCAAGCCCCATGCTTGTATGCATCCCATGTCAGAAAACAAATCATGGAAAAAGATAACTAAGCAAGAGATTCCACCTCCAAGCTGTGATAATGTACAGCAAAGGAGCATCCTTGAGACCATGGAGCAACATCTGAAGCAGTTTCCAGTCAAATCATTATTTGACCATAAGGCTCTTACTCTCAAATCACAGAAGCAAGTAAAAGTTGAGATGTCAGGGCCAGTCACGGTTTTAACTAGACAAACAACTGCTGCAGAGCTTGATAGCCACACCCCAGCTTTAGAGCAGCAAGCAACTCCTTCTTCAGAAAAGACACCAACCAAAAGAACAGTTGGTTCTGTTCTCAATAATTTTTTAGAGTCACCATCCAAATTACTAGATACTCCTATAAAAAATTTATTGGATACACCTGTCAAGACTCAATATGATTTCCCATCATGCAGATGTGTAGGTAAGTGCTAAAAATGTCCCGAGACACATGGTGTTTATCCAGAATTAGCAAATTTATCTTCAGATATGGGATTTTTTTTCTTTTTTTAAAAAAAAAAATCTTGAGTCTGGCAGCAATGTAAAGGCCCATAAAAAATCTGAAGCTTACATTTCTTGTCTTTAAATTACAAATGCTTTTGCTGTGCAAGAGAGAACTTCACTTGCATTCAATTCTTCCAAAAATTAAAACAATTGTGCATGCTCATTTTTCCGCCTATTCAAACCCTTCGAAATATAAAGGTATCTTTATGTTTAATCAATCTATTTAACTCCTTATATATCATTTTCTGAAGAGCAGCCAGGTATTAAAAACATCTATTAAAATGAGAAAATAACTGCCATATGCAAACAAACATAGAAGCTTTTAATATTTTTAATTCAGGGTTGAATGTATTAATAGTTTTACAAGATTAATTTCTAGAAAAGGGAGCAATTATCTTCAGTCTTGGTGAGATGGGGGAAATTGTAATGCTGAAGTTCTGAATACTCATGAAGTTGTCCTTTCTCTGTTTATACACTTGAAATATTATGTGATTTATATTCATTTTGGTTCTATTTCCTCTTTAAAGTTTCATCTTTTTGATATAAAATATGACATTTCCTTTTTTTAAACACCTTTTTGATAAAATTCAAGACACATGATAAGTCTGATGGAATAGGGAAACATTTTGCTGATAAATGCAGATTTTATACATATATATGTGGAGATCGTAATTATAGCTACTCAGCTGGGATACAATAGAAGACATTTGAAAAAAAAAAAATTGTTAAACTAATGTCGCTAATGGTCCACCCACCTGATGTTACTCCTCTTACCACGGGACACAACACATTTTATAGAAGAATGGAGGGAAGATGCCTACTGCCTTTTCGTGTGTGGTCAGTATTAGGTTGCCTTACGGGGCTAAAGTGCCACACATGTCATAGATAACATTAGGTAAGTTATAAGCGCCTTCACTTCCTTCTCCTAGCACTCTAACTCTTCCCCCCATCCCTTTTTCATCTTTGATATTTTGCAAGAGCCTCTTCCTTTTACCTGACCCTCTCTCCATTATTTCTCTCATCTTAAATTGTTCTAAAGTACATACAAATATGGGTCTGAGGTCAATGTTTTTGTTTTCAAAACAGTAACTGAATGTTGTGGAGAAACCAGAGGAGAAAAAGGTATCTTGACAATAAAAAGCAATATCCTGGGGGTGAGATAAGACAGGAAATTTTATTTTTACTCTTTTAACATCCTAGTCCCAGGCATGATTCGAGTTAGCCATAAAAAAATTTTTTTCAGGTTAAAAAATTTTATTTTAGTTGATATTACATATAATATATATATCAAAATTCCCATACTGTTTTCTTTGTTCCACTTATTTGGTATAAAATAATTTCTTATCCCATATCTGAAATATAATTTAATATATTTTTATCCAACAGCCAGCATGTACATATACTTAATTATTTTGCACATTTTCTAATAGATTAGTCCATCAATTTACTCATTTTAAAGAAAAAAATGTGTAAAGTCACATTTAGGGCCCTTAATGTGCAGTTGGGGGATAAGCTTTGTGGATGTAGCCTTTATATTTAGTATAATTGAGGTCTAAAATAATAATCTTCTATTATCTCAACAGAGCAAATTATTGAAAAAGATGAAGGTCCTTTTTATACCCATCTAGGAGCAGGTCCTAATGTGGCAGCTATTAGAGAAATCATGGAAGAAAGGTAATTAACGCAAAGGCACAGGGCAGATTAACGTTTATCCTTTTGTATATGTCAGAATTTTTCCAGCTTTCACAAACAAAGCAGTAAACAATTGTAAATTGAGTAATTATTAGTAGGCTTAGCTATTCCAGGATTGCCAACACTACACACTGTGCTATTCACCGGAGAGTCACAATATTTGACAGGACTAATAGTCTGCGAGCTGGCACAGGCTGCCCACTTTGAGATGGATGCCAGAAAACCCAGGCATGAACAAGAACCAGCCAGCCAGCCTGTCAGACACAAGAGTGCTGGCACGGACTGCAAGGAGAGGCCCACTCTGGCTCTCCCACTTGATGATAAAGTGTCAAAGAGGAAGAGGGGGGGATGTGGTATAAAAAAGGAACCGTTGAGTTAAATTCACCTAGCATTGTAAAGGAGTAGTTATCTCTAAGAAAGTTGTCCCTTTGTATGGACAAAGGGCAAGTGTGATATACTGAAGAGAAATGGAGACAGATTCTATTTATAGACGAATTTTCTTTTATACTGTCAGCCACAGGTATGCAAGTATTTACCTGAATCTACACAATTACTCCTGCATATAAAATACTCATAAGAGCAAGATAATTAATGCAGAGACTTTCATATAGGTATCCACAGCTCTTGAGCTGTTGCTGTGCTAGGGTGCCTTTTCTTTAAGAGGTAGGCGGTGTTATTAAAATACATTAGAAGACACTTTGGGCAGCAAGGACATATTTTGCATAATTCTTGCCCCATTTCTAAATTAGCATGTAGAAATTCACTAAATAATTATCTGGTGCCTTTTTTTTTTTTTTCTTTATTAGTGAGTAGTAAGTAGTGACTTGGTCATAAGGGAAAATATAAACTATTTCTAGAACTAGCCTATAATTTCAAAATTGCCGGATTCTAGTTATTTGCCAGCCTTCTTTTTAAAAGTATGAGTGCGTCTTTGAGGAACAGTTCTAACTAAAATCTATTGATTCCCTAAATTTTAAAATAGCTAAATTTAGTAAAGGACAAAAATCAAATAGTATGTATCTTAAAAGACTGAATTTAGCTAACTTAAAAAAGTTTCATATTTTGGATATTATGTGTAAAATAAGCTTTCCCATTATTTTCACCCAACATATAATTTCAAAATGGTTTATTACAATTATCAACATATTTTGATACTGAAGTAAAACAAGGCTTAAAGTCTGTTATCCAGTTTGCTTGGCTTAGAGCTATTTAAAAAAATAAATTATTCATTTCTCAGGATGTGGTCGTAGAATAAAGTTATGCTCAAATGTTCGGTATTTTGGATGCCACTTGGATTCATTTGCTAATTTTACATGTGTGTGTTTCTGTGGATTTCTTTAAGGTTTGGACAGAAGGGTAAAGCTATTAGGATTGAAAGAGTCATCTATACTGGTAAAGAAGGCAAAAGTTCTCAGGGATGTCCTATTGCCAAATGGGTAAGTGTGAATTGACAAGGTTTTGGTCTTCAGTCTTGGGTATTTTGATTCATTAATCTAACCCTGAGACGTGGGTTACCCAGATGAGTCATTTATGTCAGCTAAAGAGATATTGCTTACATTTATTTTATCACGTGTTATCTCTTAAGAAAAAGAGAGGCAGATTAGTTTTAAAATCATGTACTAACCATATTTAACTGAAAGAATTTAATGGTGAGAGGGAGGTCCCTTCAGGTACCTGCTAAAAGTATAATTCTTCTTAGAATGTAAAGAAGTGGTCCTTAATCAGTTAATCTTTATATTGTCATTTTATGAAAATCTTGAACTTTATGAAAAATACCTACATGTCTTCCATCTAGCTCTGGCTTTAATCAGGGGGCATAGCCCTCATTGTACTGGGTATAGAGTAGTCTGCTAAACATTGAGCAGTTTTTTTTTTTCTCTCTCCTGGTTCTGACCCCAGGGCAAGCCCCCACTTTGTAAATGGGCAGCAAAAGGCAATGGCAGGTGGTGGTAAATGTTGTCCTTACCGTGACCCAGACGTGAAAAAAATATACATACATAAATCAATGCTCTCATCTGCTGCAAGTGACCCTTGTTTTGTTTTGGTTGGGGTGGGGGGTGTTGGGGTGGAATGGTGACCCGCACAGGTGGTGCGCAGAAGCTGCATTGAGGAGAAGCTACTGTGTTTGGTGCGGGAGCGAGCTGGCCACACCTGTGAGGCTGCAGTGATTGTGATTCTCATCCTGGTGTGGGAAGGAATCCCACTGTCTCTGGCTGACAAACTCTACTCGGAGCTCACCGAGACGCTGAAGAAATATGGCACGCTCACCAACCGTCGGTGTGCCCTGAATGAAGAGTAAGTGAAGTCAGGGCCTCTCCTCTCTTTCCACTCTTAGGAAAGCCTGATCGTTGGTTGGAAGGAAGACAGCTGAACCTGCATTTTTACATTTATAAAATGGGGATCAATATGCCTGCTTCAGTCATGCAGTAGGAGGTTGTATTTGCTAACATGGGCAGTTCGAGTTGATTTCATTAACTATTTTGTACTTTCAGGCAGGGTAGCCATTAGTTAGGAGCAGCTTGCTGGAAGTCAGAGGGTCTGTACGCACAGGAACTCAATCATACTGTAAACTCGAAAATACTTGTGTATCCACTTGCTGCAAGTGACAACCCTTGTATGTGCCTGGTCACCACATTAAAAAGTCTTGACACCATTTCTAAATTGCAGAATTTGAAACAGAAAGTAAGTTTGGTGAGAAACTATAGGATTCCCAGGTCAAGGACCTTAATATATATGTAGCAAACACAAAAATGCAAGGCCTATAGAAGTTATAGAGAACAAACTGATTTTGACTTCAGTTTAATCTAGTTTATTTCTACAATAATAATAAAAATTTCTTCCATTTTTGCCACTACTAAATAATTGAGGATTTAGTGGCTCTGGATATGCATTCTTTTCCAGGCATATATATATTAGGAACAGAAGAACAGGGTTTCGCAGTTAAATATATTTAGTGCATCCAAGTGTTAGCATGTTTTTCTTTGTGGGTTTTGTTTGTAACCCCCTCCACTTGCAGGGAGTTTAAATCTTCACCTAGAAAAGCTGCTGCTGCTGCTGCTTTTTTTTTTTTTATTCTCCTGCTGTGCTATTCTTGTACAACATTCAAAGAATATAAGAAAATTTACCATGCTACACCAAAATCCTACAGCACTTATTTTACTCACAATTGGTTTTAAAATCATTTTAATTTTGTACTTCTTCCTTTAGTCTCCTTTCCTTTCTATCCACCAAACTATAAAATAGTTTACTGAGCTTATGGAAATACTATGCTGCTCATTCCAACAACCCATTGCTAACCAAATTCGTTCTTTTGCTGACTATTACTCTAACTGGTACAGTTTTACTCTATGTTAACATAGATTCTCTTTCTGGGTCATGAGGAAGTGCAAATCAACTATAAATAATCTGGTTAGGAAAGTGACTTTTTCTCTATGGTAGTGTTACTTGGCTTTCTATGGTAGATATAATCCAAAATGTCATGGTGTGTACCTCAATGCCATAAATCCTCTTAAACAGATGATATGAAGGAAGGTAGAAGTTGCTGATTCATACCTAACACATGACTCAAACTTATGATAGACTGCTTTAGGTGTAAAATACTATTCAGTTCACCTTAACTTCCCTCGTTCCTCTTTTAAAAATGTATGTAAGTGCCTTTAATCAGAAAGAAAATTAAAGTTAAGGCACTTTGAGCTGATGCTGGTGTTAGCATTTTTCTCAGAAATTCAGTAACACTGTCTTGTTTTTTTTAAAGCAGACTTCCTTAGACTTGATGGCTTAAGCTTCTAAACCACTGAAGAACATTTTGTGAAAATGACAGTAGTTTTATTTAAATATCTTGAAGTTTCATACCAACTATATTTTACATTCTTTGTAATTGATTTAATTTTTATTAATATACATCGCTGGTATTTTTTCTCTTAAGGCCTTTTAAAAATTTCTATAAAGATCATTGCCTAAAATGGAATCTGACATATAGAAAGAAATTTTATGTTAAAAATTTTCGTAAAGTGTGTTATTTTGCATTTGCAAAACCATGAACGATATTTGGGCCAGAGTCTAAGAAAAATTTTAATTTAACTGGTCTTAATAGGAGGCAAGTACAAAACTATTAAAAGACATACTTCAATTATTAAGACTTTTTTTATGGTGACCTCGGTTAATGAAATCCAGTAAGTTTCAGGTGTACAATTCAACAGTAAGGCACATGCCTTACTGTTGAATTATATATATAGATATTGCATTGTGTGTTCACATCCCATAGTTAGGAGATTTTAAAGGCCAATCTATATCTAGAATTTAAAAGTAAAGATGAGTAATTATTTAGATGAAATTTTAGTTTTAGGCTATTCATACTTAGGGCAATTCTCCAAAACCAAAACAAAAAATATCCTTGAGATACACCATTAAAAAAGATACTTAACCAGTGGCAATAGAGACTTCACTCATATTTACTTTTGAAGTTTCTTCTACCCTATAAAATTAATATTACTTTATGTCTGGCAGAAGTTAAATTATGACTTTTTGGCAAGAACAGAGGATTATCTCAAATTGGGACTGCTGACTCAGTTTAATGTTTGAAGCTGTGTGAACCTCATCACTGAGTTCTTACAAATCCTGATGCCCACACACACCATAACCACCCACTGTGCATCCAGAAAAGAACTCTGAGAGCAGCTTTCAGTGGGAAATTCAAAAATGGATTTTTACATTTCCTTTGAGCCAAACCAGCTGTTCCTCCTTTAAAGATTTCCCTTTGAGATTTCCATTTTATGACTAAGCCTAACCAATATTTTTTTGGCAAGTAAGAATTGTGGGAGCGTATTTGTCATTATAAGAAAGTCAAAGTCAGAAATGCCTACCGCCACACTGAGTGATGTCTAACTTTTGAAGAAACTTTATATTGTAAAAATTTTCAAACATACTTAAATAGAGACGTATAGTATAACAAATCACCATGGGCCCATCACACAGCTTCGGCGTTGATAAACATTTTACCAATACTGTTTCATATATTTTCCCCAACTTTTTACCCCCACTAGTATTTTAAAGCAAAATACAGGTACCATACCATCTCTCCTATAGACTCTTCAATATATATATCTGACAAGATTTTTTTTTCTGACCAAACCTAGTCGTGGTATTATCATTCATCTTAAAATTGCCAATGATTCTTTAATATCATTTAATGTTCAGACCATGTTCAAATTCTTGATTGGATCCTGTTTCAAAAAATAAATAAAAGTAAAAAGATATTGAGAAAAGAAAGTCCACACCTTGCACTTGATTTTGTGTAGGGTGGTCCCAGGTCATACTTATTGTCTAGCATAACTGTTTATAGAATTTCCTTTCATTCTCACAAGTGTCTCCGTTTGGAAGATAAATTCTATGATTCACAATAGTTCTCTCCCTCTTTTTTATGAATTTATTTGTTAAAGAGACTATATAATTTGCTCTGTAAAAATTCCCACATTCTGGAGTTGGCTGATTGCACACATTTTGTTTCACTCGTTCCTCTATCCCCAGAATCTTCTGTACTGGTAGTTAGAGACTTAAATAAGTTACAATGTATACATGTATGTACATACTGGCTAAAATGCTTCATAAGTGGTGATTAAATAATCCTAGTTCTTACCCATCAGGAGGGCCATACATCTGCTTTGTTCCATGTCTAGTGATGTTAAATGTTCACATAGTTTAGGAATTGTAAGCTTGAGTCATCCATCATAGTTTCCCAGAAAACTTTCTCTTGGTGGCTTAGCATATCCTTTGATGATCATTGCCTGTGTCTATTACTTTGTTAAAGTTTACAAATCGATAATTTTATTATTTTTTTGATGCTGTATACATTTGTTATATACACTTTATTTTACTAGTTTTTCTGTGTTTGCATAAGTTTGATAATAAAGTGGAAGAAAATGTTGATATCAATAATCCTCAAATTAGTCTAATTTTTAACTTTTTTTCACAGAAGTCCAAGTAGTAACTCAAAGGTTGAGAATCTTTTTAAAAATCTGTTATGTAAATGAATTATTTTTATTACAGTTGCTCTACTGATTTGTCATTTAACCATAAGCCAAATTCTGTGCCATGTTACAATGAGGCTGCCCTCTGCTAATTTGTGACAATATTTGAAAGGCCCATATAGAAATAAAAATGCCATTTAGCCACGTCATGTAAGAAATCACCTTAAAGTCACTTCAACTTGTTATATAGGAATATTTTTGAGATATAATTCACATACCCTAAAATTCACCCTTTTAAAATATACAGTTTAGTGGTTTAGTATATTCACAATGTTGTACAACATTTTCATCACTCCCAAAAGGAAACCCCATACCCATTAGGCATTCACTTCCAATTCTCCTCTCTCCTAAATGTCAACCACTAATCAACTTTGTATAGATCTGCCTATTCTGGGCATTTCATATTAGTGGAATCATACAATATTTGGCCTTTCTGTCTGTTATCTTTCACTTTGTATAATGTTTTAAAGGTTTATCCATATTATATTAATTGGTACTTATTTCTTTTTATGATTGAATAATAGCCCATTGTGTATATATGTACTATATTTCCCTTATCCATTCTTCAGTTAATGGACGTTTGGGTTGTTTCCACCTTTTGCTTACTTATGAATAATGCTGCCACGAAAACCCGTATATAAGTTTTTGTGTAGATGTATGTTTTCAGTTATCTTAGGTATATACTTAGGAGTGACATTGTTAATCATATGGTAATTCTAATGTTTAACTTTTTGAGGAGCTGTCAAACTGTTTTCCAAAGCAGCTGTACCAGTCATAGACCAAGCCGCCCTGAATGTGCCCTATCTCGTGTGATCTCGGAAGCTTAAGCAGGGTCGGGCCTGGTTAGTACTTGGATGGGAGACCACCTAGGAAGACCAGGCACTATAGTCGTTTTAAAAAAAAAACAAACAAACAAAAACTTTCTTCCAAAGCACCATTTTCATTCCTACTAGCAACATATGGAGGTTCCAATATCTCCACATTCTCACCAAAAGTAATTGTCTGTCTTTTTTATTATAGCCCTCCCAGTGGGTGTGAAGTGTATCTCCTGTTTGGGGTTTGCATTTCTCTAATGACTTATGATGTCATGCATTATTGGCCATTCGTATATCTTCTTTGGAGAAATGCCTACTTAATCTTTGTTCATTTTTAAATTGTTTTTTGAGTTGTAAGAGTTGTGTATTCTGGATATTAGAGCTTTATTAGATATGTGGTTTGCAAATATTTTCTCCTTATTCTGTAGGTTGTCGCCTCACTTTCTTGATAATA